CCCCCCCCCCAAATCCCCTCAAACTCACATCTTTCCCTTCTTTCTTCTGAACTGAATTCAAAGTCTACCATACAGGCCCTTGGGTGGGCCCTACGGAGAACGGCAAGGTCAATACCACTGGATTTCGACCTTTAGAAAATTTAGAATCTCAAGGGGAAAGATGACACTCCGGCCAACATAGTAGAGAGTCAAATCTGATATAATATTCATGGGAAATATGAGCCAAGCGCTGGAGGGGGGAGGATTCCTTCTGTCTGGTGAGGTGGAGCAGGTGCCATAGGCGGGACCTGGAGAGCAGGGAGCAAGTCTACCCTTCCATCGGGCAGGGAAGCCGTTCCTCAGGAGGCGAAGCCGACGGGGAAGACCTGGGGCAGCACAGGGCCTGTCGCTTGCAGGAATAACTGGCTAGAAAGGGAGATGGGAGGAGGGGTAAAGGGTAAGGATGCCTATGGAGGCTGCTCTGAAGTCAAGGAAGGGGGGTCATCTGACAAAACCTGCTCAAAGGTGACGGTCATGAGGAAACAGGTACAAGCCAATGCCAACATACAAAAGTAAAACCTGTGCCAGCATGGAGGATATCTGGGGTGTGAGGAAGGCCTGCGCCAGCCGCCTGCCCTGGGAGGGCTGGCACAAGGCCACGGAGGGTTAGCGGCATTGCCCTGCGTGCCCCTTCTCTCTAAAAGGTGTACGGTGTGTGCTTCTGCCGTAAATCTTGCCATGAGTACTATCTGGGCACAGGGCTTCATTGGGGGACAGCTGCACAACTAATTTTAGGTCTGAGCTAGGGAAGTAGGGCAGGTCTAATCTCCAGGGTGGGGAGGAAACAGTGACACAACACTGGGCATCTGTTCCTACAAAGGCGTCCCAGAATAGCTCTCCAGAGCTTACCAACGCTTTGGAGACGACACTCCGGAGGGCTATTCATGTCCCCCAACATGGTACTTCACCCCCTTCCCAGAAGACCCCTGCACACCCACAGGCTCTGGCACCCAAGTGGAGCTCAGGAGAACTCACTGGGTGCACCTTAATTACTGCTCGAGGGATGGCGTTCATGGGAGAAAGTGAGCCCTGGCCCAAACGCCCCGTCTTCACATAGCCCTCCAGCCTTACTGCCTGAGCTGAAGCCGTGAGCCGAGGGTCCAATAGTATTTACACTAATGACAATCAACCATATGACGCACATCAAAGCTTATAGCATTTTTACACCTTATTTCTCAACACCCACAACCAGCCTAGGAGTGAGAGAACCTGCTTGGTCAGGCCCACTTTGCGGATCATCTGGAGAGAGGGCTACAGTGCAGGTCTTCTGGCCTCAACACCTTTGTTCTGACCCTGCTGCTGGGCGCGGGGAGTGAGGCAGAAAACAAGGCAGCTCTGGGAAAGAACTCGAAGGCAGAGGGGGCACACATTTATTTAGTCTTTGAGAGGAAACAGCCATTCGATTGAGCAAAAAGGCTCCCCCACCATGGAGCAAATCGTTCCATGAGTATGAGCCATTTAGACGGTAAGAGAAATTTAAACAAACTTATAACAGCTTAAGACTGTCTTACATATGGCGGCTTAGAAATAAAACACTGGAAACAGACTGTGTAAGATACTCGGGGGGCGGTGTAAGAGCTGAGGCTCGCGTATCAGACAGGGTTGAAATCCCAGCCTGTTCCTAACTTCTTTCAGCTTCAATTTTTTTTTCTTTCCCTGTGAAGTTGGGGACAGGAATAGCACCTGCCTCGCGGAGCAGAGAATCGAATGAGGCAACGCGTGCTAGGCCCTCAGAAGGGCACATATGAACACCACGGCCATGCTGGCTACGAGGTGATGGGTGCTGAAAAAGCCCCTGTTCCATGGAGGTTTGGTTTTAATTTGTCATTTGGCTCAAGAAGGGGAATCTGCCTCCACCCCAGCTGATGTGTCCTGTTGCTGTAAACTAACTCTGCCAGACCTAGACCACCACATGAATGGAATCATAAAACATACACGTGCTTCTGTGTCTTGCCTCCATTCCCCCATTTTAGGGATTCATCCGCATTGCTGGATGTATCAATAGCTTATCCTCTCTATGGCTGATTCGTTTTATTGAATAGATATACCACAAGTTGCCTGTCCATTCATTTGGTGATGAACACTGAGGTTGTCTCCAGTTTTTTAGCTGGATGGAAATAAAGTTTCTATGAACATTAAAACAACAACAGGGGGAGGGATCATCCTGCCCAAATTTTACAAGAAAAAAAAACACAAAAACAAAAAACAAAGAAATGCAAAAATAGGCCTGAGGTCCCTGTTAACCCCTGGTGTTACTGTCCCACTTTCCCGAGGTACCATGATCCCATCTGTGCATGCACTCGGCTCCCCTTGGAGTGCCTGGGAAGGGGGCTTCTGGGCTTGGTTGCTTACTTCCCCCCACCACTGCCTGGTGGGAAGTCAGTGTGGATGCAAAAGGGGCCACACACTAACCCCGACAAGTTCAGGGGAGGCCCGCATGGTGGGTGGGGAGTAACAAACTCAGGGACCCTAAGTAACTGCTACACAGGATGGTCTGAACATAAAAGTTCCCAACAAAAGCGAGTCATAGCTAGTGGAGTCCTAGGCCTGCAGCTTCCTTGACAAAGGTCAATCTTTACCTGAGAGCCTGTCCATTTAGTCTTCTTGCATCTAAAATAACATACCTTTGGAATGTCAAAGTGATCCCTTTTATAGACCCCTCAAGGCACACCCGCTTGCACTGGAGCACAGAGCCCCTCGTGGTTATCCTGTGTCCCGCATACCATCTCTATGTGCTGTACATGTAACTGTTAACTATCCTGTACCCACCAACGTAAAAGTATGCACCTCTCTGGTTTACTTTTAATCCAATCCTAGAGATTGCCCCAATTTGCTTTCTCCCACCCCCTTAATCTAGCACCAACAGATTTCACAGAACCCTCCTCAGGTCTCCTCCTTTGAGCCTATTGCATAATATAAGCTGCAAAACTGCCATTCTCTGGAGCGTTTTCTCAATTCATTGAGATTTCTGCTCCCGGGCGATTGTCCTCAGTTTGGCACAAGTCAACTCATAAAAATTCTCAACAGGTTTGCACATTTCTTCCATGGACACAAACAATAAAAGGTGTCAGGACCCCAAAGGAAGGGGCCTTGTGCCAAGGTTAGCTGGGAAGGGCTTCCTAGAGAATCCCTTCAAGCAACGTGGCACCCAAGTTGGCAGAGAAGAGATGAGATGACTGAGTGAGACACGTGTATAGATGGGCCCAGCAGACATCCCACAGATTTTTCAGGTAATACAGGGGAAGCATCCACACATCCCTGAGCTGCCAAACAGATGAATGAAAACAGCGGCCGATCACAAGAGGCCATGTGAATAGAGTTAAAAGGCAAAGTTCATGGGCTGGGGACCAAGGGACATGTCAGTGAGACAGCAGATGCCAGCAGTAAAGGCCTCCACACAATGATAAAGACCAGACATGCCCAAGTCATACACAGCCCCACGGATGTAAACAGACGCTTAAGATGGAAATAAAGAATAAATTACAGAAAGTCACAGAAGCTCATTTTCGTTGTTGTTGTTACTGAGTCTGTGACTCTGAAGTTTTGGTTCTTACTAAGTAAAGATGACTCAGTAGAATTTAGTTGAAACCCATTTTGCAAGATATCTGCCCTTTAGGTGGGAGGTTTCTAAAACGAGGTACATAGAACAATGACTCCTAACAAAAGAAAGTCTCCAAACAAAAATAGCTCCCCGGCCCAATCAGTTTTAGAATGAGGTACCCTGAGGACGCATCTTGGATATTCTGAATGCGTGTTGGCGTGACCAAGGCTCCGAGCAGTCTCATGGTGAAGCAATGTATCAAACTTTGTCTAACACAGTCCTTCTCATTGCATTTGATGAGGAATTTTTTTTTTTTACTGAGATATAATGTATTTCACTCTAGGAAATGCTGGTGGAGAGAGCTGCAGGTGAGAATGGATGGTAATGGCATTACTGTGGTGACCCCAAGAGAAAAATATTCAGGTGGAACATGAGCTTGAGATTGATGCTGGGCAGAGGAACATATCATGGCTGGGCATGGAAACGCTACTTTGCCAAATGACCCTGTCTATCTTGGAAATTGGCTGAATCTTTTCTAATATTCTTTCAAGGTCCTCGCTGAGTCACTCCCGTAAATGATGGATCTTAATGGTCCCAAATATCTCTAACGCCTTCGTGTCTGACCATCTCCCTTTTTAAGCCGGTGATTCACTCACTCCACTCGAGCACGCAGGGCCAGAGAGAATGGCAGAGTTTCATTTTCCGATCGTAAAAAAACATCTGAAAACCAGCCCACAACCGTGATGGATGATTGTAAGGCCCAGATTTCATATCGGAAATTTAACCGGCTAACTCTTTAGGGACTCCCAGGAACGCCACCTTTCCCTGTCGTTTCTGGGCTGTCTTTTAAAGCCTACACTCACTACTGTAGAGTTGCTGTGAGAAAAAAGACGACCTGAAGTCTTCAGGCAGAAAACAGAGGCTTTGAAGTCAAAAGGATCTGGAAACAAAGCCCGACTCTGGCTTCTGTAGCACTGTGACTGTGGACAGGGCTCTTTCCACATTTTCGTTTCCTCGTGTGAAAATGAGGGTAATCATATATCCATTCAGGGTTGTTGCGAGGATTGGAGGAAATGACACATTGGTGGGGAGGAGGCAACTGGTGACAAAATCAAGTCACTGTCCCATATCTACAAGGGGGGATATCATCACCCAACGGAGCCGGAAACGCCGTGAGCATGTGTATGAGGCCCTCTCCGGCTCTGCATCTATTAATGGCGCAAGTACTAGCAGAAGCACTCCATACCTGATGATCCGGGTACGCTTCCGGGTGTAAGGGGTGATGACCTTGAAAAGCAGTTCCATAGCTCCGTTAATTCCCAGCATGGCAGCCGTGGTGACTGAGAACGACAAAAGCACAACTGGTGTTGAACTATCTGAACCAAGCGTTGTTTCCAGCAAGACAGAGTGACCCCAAAAGACAGGGGAGGTCCATCGCCTTCCGTACTAAAGGCAACTTAAAAGCAGAGAAACTCTGCGGTCGTCTCATCTCTGGTTGGACCTAAGGGCCACCGAAAAAGGCCACATAATCTTCTCTATTTTCTTCCCAAAGGGGGTCCAAGCCATGGAATTACGTTTTTCATTCTCTGATGGCCAATTTGCACTTCTCCACTGTATTTTTTATTTATTTATCTTTAATGTTGAAAGTATTACTGATGTCTCCCCTTTTTTCCCCCACTGACCCCCTCCACCCCGCATCCGTCCCACCCCAGGCCTACCCCACACGACTGTCTGTGTCCATGGGTCATGTGTGCATGCATATACGTTTCAACTGTATTCTTATGCAGAATCATCAAGGACATTGCTGAACAGAAGATTTTCCTGTAAGTAGACCTTTGGGTTTCTGGCGATGACTTCAGTTTAAGTTGTTTTGCAAACCACCAACTTCCCATATGACACATACATGCGTGTACACACACAGGCGTGCTTCCCAACGAAGAAAAGTCACCGGTTGGTGGGTTAAGGTTCAGTATAACGTGGACTGGCTCCTTTAAAACTTTCAAGGGCCGCCTAAGAAGGAAGTCAGCACCCCCTCTTTTCCACCCAGGTGCCAAACTCCCCTACAGCCTTCGTACTTGGATCTCCCATGACTGAGGCTAAGACTTGACTATGCCTCTAGCTGTCATGATGTCAAAGGAAGAATTCGTTCTTCCTGCTCAGAGATACCTAAGCCTGGGAAAGTCTTGCCTTTGTGCCCAGTTGGATGGTTACAAAAATATAACCAGAGACCTGAATAATAGAAACTCAGAAGGGCTTCTGGGCATCCCAGTGGCTTGGCTACAAAAATCTCTGAATGTCACCTTCATCTCCAGTGACTCCCTGGCCTCTCTGCAACATGCCCCATGCCCCGCAGCTCACTTTAGAAAGAGCTCTGGTCATGTCAAAAAATAAATAAGAGGAATCTACAGGATACAGAATGGAATCGGTTTGGCAGGAGGCAAAATTTCAGTGGGAGAGGAACGAAGATTGTCTTCCAAGGTGTGACTCCGTTTCCCCTTTCCTGCACTGCATGGATGTGGTGCAGCAGAGCCAGCCTTGTTCCAAGAAATACAGGTAGGGACAAGGGGGTCATGGAGAAGCAGAGAGAGAGACAAGGGAGGCCTATCCTGGCTTGCTCCAAGTCCCGCAGAAGATGGATATATGGAAATCTGGAAGCTCTAATGTAGGTCATCTCAGAGAGACTGAGGCTGATGACTTAGCTCTTACAAGGAGCACCTGTTCCGGGCACGTCCCCCCTGCACATGTCCCCCCCTGACGCTAGTACGGCAGTAATTGCCTGGGTCAGAATCCAGGGATTTGCCATCCTCACCCTGCCCATCCATCTTCCACTCTCATGGCCACCACTTCCCAACTGGGAAAACACGCCTGAGTGACCTCCTGGCGAATAATTTGGCAAAATGCTAGTATTAAGTAGCATCGAGGAGGAGAGAGTGCTAAGAGCATAAACTCTTAACATGGAAGACTTGAGACGTGGAATGGAGAGAGGCGAACAATAAGAAGCCTCCCCTGAGTTCTTCCATGCTGGCTGCCGGCCCAAGGTTAGACCTCTGACAGCTCTATAAATATCCCCGTTGGCCATCTGAGCGCTGCCAACGGGTTCACTGGCTGTCACAGACCCGTTCCGGTTCCAGCCAATTCCTTCTGCAGATAGAAGCTGTTTAGAAAGCTCGCTGGAACATCAACGGTGGCTAACAATTCACCCAAGAGACAGCGATGCATAGGCTCTGTGAACTCTGCTTGCCTGTCACCAGTCAAGTCAATGGAGAGAGAGTGATAGATAATTTTTAAAATAGTTTATGAAACACTGAGTGGGTCCAGTACATGCCGTCTTAGGCTATGAGACAAGGGGCCACCTCCTCACACCCACGGGCGAACGCCAGCATTTCTCAGAGCTCCCTGCTGAAGAAATTCTCATACGTAACAAGGGAGCCAAGTCATCCAGCCTGACTCTTCTGCGGGGAAACAAAATGAGATTCTTCAAACTGTCGTTGGCAAGCTCCGCATGGGGGTGGCAGGCCTTCTGGCTGCTCGTTAGGGAGAGTTGCCCTTCAGGCAGAGCTTCACCTCCTCCCTCCCACGTTCCTTTACTGGAGATGGGTTTGTCCAGATCCTTCCAGCCCCTCCCGAATCATGACCGTTTCTGACCGTCCGGTCAACAGCTCCGAGTGCAAGTGGAGGCTGTGTCTGGGAACACGGAGTCGAAAAGCTATCCCGTTGTTCCCTGGAAATGCTTTCTCATTATAGGTCCTCCGTGCTGATTAAGAGATTAACTGATGAAGTGTGTACCCACTATTTTAGTACTTCTGAGCATAGTTAAGGGGGGAAGTCACCTACGTACTCCCCTGTGTTCTGTTATTTCAAAGGACCAAGGGGAAAGAACAGAGCAGGGAGGGGAAACGAACGCTGACTGAGCAACTACGAAGTGACAAGCAAACCTGTGAACATTACGGCACTTCTGCCACCCNGTTATTTCAAAGGACCAAGGGGAAAGAACAGAGCAGGGAGGGGAAACGAACGCTGACTGAGCAACTACGAAGTGACAAGCAAACCTGTGAACATTACGGCACTTCTAACACCTGCCAAGTCTGTGAGCTCTTATTCCCACTCTGCTGGTACAAAGGAAGACACTGAGGTTGAACAGGTTAAGTGCCCACGTGATAACGCTCTTAAGAAAGAAATGAGCGTCAGGCCAAGGTCTTCCTGGACCTAAGCCCATGTTCCTTCCTCTGGAGAGCATTACATCTAAATAATTGTCACTTCCGTCCTGAAGGAAAGGGGCTCTGGAAGGTGAGATGAAAGTCTGTGCTCATTAGTCTGAGATAGAGGAGGTACAGAAGTGAATCTATTAACGAGAACGGTCTCCGTATGGAGAGTAGAACAGACATGCGTTTGGGAGTTAGAAACTCAGCCCCTGTGACTTATCTGTATGAACTCAAGCAGTGGCTTCACTCTTCCAAGTTTAACTTTCTTTTCCTTGACCATAAAATGGTGTCTAAATACAGGACTGTTAGGATAATCAGAAATAATCCAAATCACGGGATGGCAAATGAGGCTATTTCACGTGGCCGTGATACATCTAGTTAGCTTAAGGACCATGTTGAGCAGCACTGTGAGGTGAAATTTGCTAAAGGATGTTGTCATCAATGAGGAACATCGGGGACACGGTAGGGAGACTGGTGACGGGAGGGTCATTCTTGACAGGTGTCATACATCGCACTGTGCCTTGACCATGACGAGGGCTGAAGAAAGCTTGCCCTCTCCTACCATAGGTCGTTTTCACCTCGTGGGGCTAATAGAGAGGCCTGGAGCCCTTAGACTGGGTGGTTCACAAGGCAAAACAATACTGAGGTCTAACTTTGGGAACAGGCTCAAGAGTCCCACCCGACTGTGGAAGAGATGAAGAAAAGCTTTAGGTTCCTCATGGTTTATCTTTTTGGGACCACACATGTTCTCTGTCCATACCTTCCTTCCAACCACACCCCAAAATGGTTCCCAGGTGTCCTAGCCCAGGTCTGGAAGGCACCCCAGAAAGCCACAGCTGAGTCGCTTACCGCTAGAGGCAAACACACGCAGGGCCCAGAGGCAGTGGAGGAGGTTCTGGCTGTGGGACAGGTTTTTCCTGGCCAGAATCAATGTCACATCAAGTGCTTCCAATTCCAGTGCTTTCTGTCCAAACTTTTTATCTGCAAACACAAACCAATCCATTCAGCTGTGTTGTCCATTCGTTCTGAAGGTTGTGCGACGCGTGGGGGAGAGGAAGGCTAAGGGGAGGGTGGAAAGATCATCATCGCAGGCACTGAGACTTCTCAGATCTAGTAGAAAATGCTACTGAGCATGTCCCCGTTACAACCAGATGGCTCCGAAAAGCTGATTCAGGCTACACATAGGGCCTATGACTCTTTGATTAACATTTATATGAAGTCTTGTGGGTTGTTTGACTCGCGCCCCCGTAAGTAAGGACGTTTCTGGTTGTCCTTGCACCTGAACCACTGTTCAGTAGGGTGCACATCCCTTCCCTGAAGATAGTTCTAGAGTTAAGGACACTTCAGTTACGTAACATTTAAATACAACGCATGGACCAAGACTGGATTCTTCTTTGAAACATGCCTGTGAAAGACCTGCTGCGAACTTGTGGAGAAACTGAACTGAGTCTAAACTGTTCATTCATTGCTAATTTTGTTAGATTTGTAACCATGGTGTTCTGACCGTATGGGGGGGAAATGTCTTTTTTTCAAAGAAATGCACTTGAAACTTATTTAGGAGCAAAACGCTATCTATAATTTTCCATAAAATATTTCAAAAGAATATAAATATGTGAAGAAAATATGGCAAAATGTTAACAGCAGTTAGATCTAAGCCACAGGTATCTGAAGCCATCTTTCCGTATGGCAGAGAACTTTATGATAGGAAGTAAGAACGTAATTTAAGAAAATAAAATTTTCTCCCCAGATTTCTCTAAATTATTGATCCACATATCCTGATATTTAGTGTTGCAGGTTAGTCATCATTATTTTAATAATTCATGAATCAGAAGTGAAATACGGAGAGACTGTCTTTTCTTCTAGGTTCCTGGCTTCCACATGTTTTCTTGTCCTTTCCAAAGTGTGATGCCCACTTTGTCATGTTTGTTTTTGAAAATATACAATCACTATTAGATTCATCACAAGTGGAAATGCATAAAACAGGGAATATCCTAAACCTGGTTGACCAACATTTTTACCTCTGGACCAAAGGACACCAGCAAAGAGATCAAGACTAAACTCCTATGACCCATCCTCCCCGTCGTCAGAAAAAGGGACCCATCTGGCTCCATTCCTGAGCAGGCAGCCTCATTTCTGTTCTGTTCATGTCAGTCCCTGGCCACTTGAGCGTCAACGCCAAGGACTACGCTTCCTTGATGACGCTGCGTTGACGCAATTACGATAATAGTAATATCAAGGTCTAGAACCTGAAAATCTCTTCCCTGACGCATCTCTCCTCTCCTTCTCCTACGAAACCTACGTGACTCTTCTTGGTCGAGCCTCTTCACGCACATGCTAAGCAGGTGACACACAACACCTCACTTAAACCTTACGGCAGCCCTGGAATTAAGTACTGATACCTCCATTTGTAGATGAAGGCCCAATGGCCCAGAGAGGTTAAGTAACTTGTCCAAGGTCACACAGCTAATAAGTGCCAGGTCGGATCTGAAACCCAGACCTGACTTCCCAGCTTATATTATTCATGACGGGGGCATATACATCACGTCTCTTCAGTGTTTTCCTGGAGCTCACTTGGCCCACTCTTTACCTACTTCTCATTGTCTCCTCTGTGGGGCAGGTCCTGCCACCACCACCCAGGCGTCTGGAACCTCCCTTGCTGCGGCTTCCCTGCCCTTTCCCACAAGAGCTTCCAAAACTACTCTCATAACAAACTCGGAAGTGCCTTCCAGTCATCTTCAGGTCTGGGGGTGCAGATACCTCGAAGGCCAACTTTGGTGAGCAGTCGGAAGAGGGGCAGGAGGATGTCATAGTCTGGAGACGCTGTCCGGGCCGTGTCCACCAGCGTCTGCAGAAGGGCTTCGCTACCCCCCTTGCTGATCATGTAGCGAATCCTCCGGTCTGTGCCTGAAGGGGGAAAGCAGAGGGGGGCTGAGCCATGAAAAACCGCTCATTTCCTTGGCGCTAGAGACAGAGCAAGGATGGGTTCATTTCACCCCAGAAACCAAAACTGTGTAGTTCTTGAATCCACTTGGGGTAAAGTTAGGCTATTAGGTAAGGGGCTGGGGTGGGCGTGGGGTATGAAATGTAAAAATAATAGAATACTTAAGTACCCAGGTGTCACCTGTAGCAACTGTAAAAAAATAAAGCCCAGAATCCACTTTCTTAAGGACCTAGTGCATCTCCAAGGTATGTACGTACTCGTGTCTACGTGTATATAACTATGCACACAGGCTTACGTACAATCACTTACTTTAATAGAAGGAATACAGTTTCCTCTGCTATAGGTTTGATTGATCCACAAAAGGGATTGGGATGATTGCTTATCTATTGATGGTGTAAAAGAGAAACTTCAGTAACTCGTGAGAGGGAAATATGGAAACAACTGGAGTAATTCTTTGAGAAACAACTGTCCAATTATCTTATCTAAGATCGAAAGGGGTGTGGGGCTAGGATGAAACATTTTGATCTTTCTACCTAAGGATAGTTTTGGCCCTGGCTGGCGTGGCTCAGTTGGTTGGGCATTGCCCCGGGCACTGACGGGTTACTGGTTTGATTCCTGGTTAGGGCACATGCCTGGGTTGCGGGCTTGTCAACCGATTGATGTTTCCTCTCACACAGAGGTTTCACTCTCTCTCCCTCTCTCTTCCTCTCTCTCTAAAGATCAATTTTTAAAAGAGAGAATAATTTTGAACAGGGACCCTCCACACACATGCACACCTTGTCCCAGGAGAAACTCAAAAGCAGTGATGGTGTTTCAACTTGGAAGGGGCCCTGGGTGATTCCCTAGGCCCTGGACAAGTGGCTCCCCCTGCAGAGGGTCCCTCCCTCAGGAGACTGCAGGGAAGTCACCCTGCCATCGGAGGGCAGCACAGCCTACGGGAAAACCTCAGCGCGAATGACCCCTCCTCGGGACACTGTGGCCAGAGGCTCTGTGGCTTCGGGGCGTCGTTCGTTTGGGTTTGGCCTATTTGTGGCCGGCACACACAGAAATGAAAACTGAGGGAATGTTGGAACATCAAAAAAGCTGCGTTCTCCAGGACTCTTCGTGTGAAACTGAGCTAACAGAGGCATGCCCGTTAACTCCGTTGATTCCGATGGAGTCAACGCTGTCCTGTTATCTCTGGAAGCCTAATGGTTACCGCGCTGCGAGGCCCAGCTCCTGCCTCCTAGTCCCACAGGTTAGGGAGCTGCTGATACCTGGCTCTGCAACGGGCCACAGGAGGGGGCAGAGGGAGGAGAGAGGTCAAACCGCCGAGAGCAACGCCCTCTCAGAGCTGCAGGCACCCAGAGGTCCTTGGCCTCACGGATAACACACCACAGAATAAAAACCCGTAGTCTAAATCTTCCTAAGTTTGGGTCACCGTAGGGTGAGTGACAAGAACGAAGAGCCCAAAGTTTACACCAGGACTGATTAACCTCCGTAAAAACAAACCAACAACAAATGGGCTGATGGTTCTGTCTCACAGAAAACCTGAGCTGGTACGAACCCCAGGCCACCGAGTCCTAGGCGACACCGCAGCGCCCTGCCCCGCGTCCACCGTGCGGGGGGACGACAGCGAGGCCCACTCACCGACGGAAAGCAGGTCCCCGAGGATCTGGAGGATGGTCAGGATGGACGCCCTGTCGGAGGAGCTCTGCAACGAGAACACAAGCATCTTTTACTCGAGACGCGGAAGGTGGGAGGCTGCGTGGTCGGGGGTGCACGTGGAAATGGCAGGGCTGTGTGCTTCCTTCCCGCCGCCGAGGAAGACGTCCTGCAAGAAAAAAATAATGCCCAAAGGGGTGCTCCCGAAACAATGACAGCGAGGGGCCCACTGGGGTAAGGGCTCTGTTTCTGTATTTCGCCTTCGGAGCCCCTCCCTGAGGACCAATTCTGCAGTAGTAAGAAGGGGAAAAGAGTAAGTATTGATGATTGACACAGATACAGCAAGGAAAGGGGGCCGTGGGCCAAAATGGTGTAACTCTGCTGTTATTTCAGGACGTGTGGATTATTTTTAAGTGCAGGGCAGAGAGCAGAAACAGAAACCCGCCCGAAAAGCTTCCCTGGCTGGTAGGGACGAATTTTTATTTCGTCAAGAGAAACGAAGGGAGGTGCCAAACCTCACGATGCAGACGTCCTATGGGGTCCCTGCAACGCTGGGCACACCACCCCTTGTTACCCAGAAGAGAGCACTGCAGTTCAGAGACGGAGGACGCGTAGAGTCCCTGAGGAGACCCACACAGCAAAGCCCGAAGCGCAGCCCAGGCCGGCAGTCTCCGCGCTGTAATATGCTAACTTTATTATTATTGTTTTTTTAGATCTAAAGAACTTACACATCTACTAGTTGCAAACTTGTCCCTTAAACACTATTTCCTCGGTTCCTCCACCCTTCAGCCCCCGGTAGCCACCATTCTACTCTGGTTTTAGAAGGTCAGCTTTTTTAGATTCCACATAGAACTGAGAGCATACAGTATTTGTCTTTCTCTGTTGGACTTACGTCACCTAGCATAACGCCCTCAAGTTCCACTTAGGTTGTCACAAATGGCAGGATTTCCTTCTTTCTCCCGGCTGAACAATATTCCTCTATGTGTGTGGACGTGTGTGTGTGTGTGTTGGGGGGGGCGTGGATGTGGATGTGTGTGTTCTTTATCCATTCATTTGTGATGTGACTTAGGTCACTTCCACATCTTGGCTTGTGTAAAAGGCTGCCATGCACAAGGGTATGTGGGTATCTCTTCAAGACACTGATTTCAGTTCCTCTGGATATAGGCCCAGGAGTCCTGTGTTACACCACTCACAAAACTTAGCTCAAAATGGTTCAAAGGCTTAAATGTAAGACCTGAAACCATGAAATTCCTAAACTCCTAGAAGAAATCATAGGGGAAAATATCCAGACTTTAGTCTTGGCAAAGATTTCTTGGGTAAGATACCAAAAGCACAGGCCGAAATAATAACAACAATTAAAAATTACATTAAAGCAAAGAGCTTCTGCACAGCAAAAGAAACAAGCAATAAATGGAAAAGGCAACCTACAGAACGGGAGGAAATATTTGTAAACCATATATCTGATAAGGTACTAATATTCAGAATATATTTACAACCCATTAGCTAGAAAGCAAATAATCCAATTTTTAAAATAGGCAAAGGACCTGAATAGACATTTCTTCAAGGAAGGCGTACAAACAGCCAATAGCCACATGAAAAGATGCTCAACATCACATCACTTATCATCAGGGAAATGCAAATCAAAACCATGAGATATCACCTCACACCTGTTACGTGGCTTTTATCAGAAAGAGAAAACAAATGTTGGCAAAGATGTTGAGAAAGGGAAACCCATATGCTACTTTTTTAGGTATGTTATTTAAGACAAAGCTTTAATCTTCCCATTAGTAAGTTTCATGCTCCGAATCTGCTTTATGTAACTCAGTAACTCCCCATCACACACAGCTTATACCTCCAGCTTCATTATTCATTACAACAGCCCTTTCCAAAGTCTATGCTTGGCCACATGGAGCTACTTCTATTTTCTACTCAAACCATGCAGCTTCTTGCCTCTGTGCCCTTGATCATACCATTCCTGAAGCCTGCTCAATGCAGCTCATCCTTCAAGTGCTAGTGGTTCCTGGAAGATTCCCATCCCACCCGCAAGCTGGGTCTGGGGGTCTCCTGCCTCCACATCACTCCGGGCTCAGCTCTAACAGCACACTTACCACGTGGCATTGGCATCAGGGCGCATTATTACCTCCCACTCCACCTGCACTAAATATGAGTGTTTAAAGAAAGGACACTACCTGCCCAGAGAGAGCATCCGATTCCACAGGCGAAGGGCTCGGTCCTACCGACTGCCCCCCCCGCCCCCAGGCTGCAGACTCCAGTCCCAGCCGCAGGTTGTAATCAGCACTTCACACCAGCCGGCTGCCAATTAAAGGCTCTCACCACCACCTCATCAGGTTCAATTAATTTGCTAGAGCAACTCACAGAACTCAGAGAAACATGTCACTTACTAGGTTAGCAGTTTCCCCTAAAAGGATGTAACTCAGGAACAGGCAGGCGGAAGAGCCGCGCAGGGCAGGTGGGAAGGAGCGCGGAGCCCCCAAGCCCTCCCGGGGCGCCGTCCCCACGCCTCCAGGCCTTTGCCCACCCAGGAGCTCTCTGGACCCTGGCCTTTGGGGTTCTTAAGGCGGCTTCCTTACAGTAGCCCCCCGTTTTCCATGGGGGATAAGTTTCAAGACCCCCAGCTGACGCCTAAAACTGTGGGTAAAACCAAACCCTATGCATACTACTCTCCCATACATACTTATGATAAAGTTTAATTTATAAGTTAGGCGCAGTAAGAGATTAACAACAATAATTGATAAAATAAAACAATTATAACAATATACTGTAATAAGTTACGCAAATGCGCTCTCTCAAAATATCTTACTTCACCTACAGGAGAGTCGTTCTTACCATAGGCCTCAGCAGCCTCCGCTCACGGATTTTTTTTCTGTCCCTATTAAGTGGAGCATTTTCAGGTTTTCGCTTAAAGGACGCCCTCCCTGGCTTGTCTTGCACGTTATCCGAAGGGCCAGCTTCGCTACCCCGGCACTCTGAGGCCGTTATTAGTGAAAACAGCATTACGGGACCACAGCCCGGAGCGACCTCCGCAGTCACCTCAGGGCCCAGGCGGCTACTGCTATGTACCGCGGGGAGCGTGTCTACGTGGCGTGGAGACGTCAGCGGCGCGGAGACGCACACGGCGTGGAGACGCCGGGGAGAGGGAGCGTCAGGACGTCACGGCCGGACCTAGCGGATCGCGCGAGATTTCATCACGCTGCTCAGAATGGCTCGCAGTTTAAAACCTATGAATTGTTTATTTCTGATATTTTCCACTTAATATTTTCAAAGTGGGGTTGAAA